CCCCCCTTCCTCCTCCTCCCCCTCCTCCTCCTCCCCTTCCTCCTCCCCTTCCTCCTCCTCCTCCTCCCCCCCTTCCTCCTCCTCCCCCTCCTCCTCCTCCTCCTCCTCCTCCCTTCCTCCCCCTCCTCCTCCTCCCTCCTCCTCCCCCTTCCTCCTCCTCCTCCTCCTCCTCCTCCTCCAGATCTCCATCACATCTCCATCCCGGAACCCGAGCAGCTCATTGACTTGCTGATGCCGAGGCTGTTCAACCAAGGCATCCATCAAGGGGGGGAGGGGGGGGGGAGGGGAAGGGAGGAGGAAGGGGGAGAAGGGAGGGGGGGAAGGGGGAGAAGGGAGGGGGGGAAGGGGGAGAAGGGAGGGGGGGAAGGGGGAGAAGGGAGGGGGGGAGGGGAAGGGAGGAGGAAGGGGGAGAAGGGAGGGGGGAAGGGGGAGAAGGGAGGGGGGAAGGGGAAAGGGGGCGGAGGAAGAGAGGAAAGAGGAGGGAGGGGGAAGGTGAGAGCAGGAAAAATGTACAGGGAGGGGTGTGGGGGTGGCGAGTGGAAGAGGGATAGAGGGCGGGGAAGGGAGATGAAAGGAAGACGAAAGGAGGGAGGAGAGAGAGAGAGAGAGGTGGAAAGAGGAAGAATATATAGAGCGAAAAGATAGTAAAGAAGAGGGTGAGGAGAGGGAATTGGAGAAAAGAATTGAGACGAAGAAAAAGGAGAAAGAAGGGGTATTAATAAGTGTAAGCACGATGCCCTTGTCTCTCTCTCTTTCTTCCCCCGAATAAAACCCGCTCGTTTTATGTAATCTTAATGTCAGATTTGTGTTTCGAGATTGTTTAGGGCGAAAAATGCCATTGATTGCAGGCGACCGGATTGGAGGAGGAAGGATGGGGAAGCAAGCGTTGGTCTTCAGCTGCACACTCTTTCTTCTTCTCTCTTTCTCTCTTTTCTTTTTTTTTTTTCCCCTTTTTTCCTACTTTTTTCATTTTTTTCCTTTCTTTTTCGGGATGTGGGGGGAGGGAGGGGAGGGGTTGGTAATTTTGCAAAGTGGAGTTATGGTGATGATTATAACGAAGGCCTGGGTAATGGTACTGATAGTGATGATGATGATGATGATGAAAGTGAGCGAGAAATTTACTTAGGTCTAATTAGATCAAGAAATTTCATCAGGGATTCTGAAACTAGGGGACGTGAGTTTCATAAGGGAGTGTATAGGGGGGGCGGGGGGGGGGGAGGTGATCGAGCCCAAAGCGAAAAAAGAACAAGAAATTCTCTAATAACATAAAGTAATCACGTGATTCAAGATCTGTCATAGCAGTGGTAATGATGATTATGATGATTATGGTGACGGCGATAATGAAGATTTTGTTGATGATGATAGTGCTGATAATGATGACGTGATGGTGAAGGTGTGATGAGAGTGATTATTATGATAATGAAAGGGATTATGATGTTGATTTTAATGATATTAAAGATGGCATTAGTTATAGGAATACGGATTATAGCAATGGTGAAGATAGTGATAATGAGGATGATGATGATGATAATGATGATACCAGTAATAGAAATACAAATAATGCTGATAAAAGGTAATATTGCTAATGATGATGATAATATTAATAATAATGATAATAGTAATAATGATGATGATGATGATAGTAATAATGATGATAATACTTATAATAATGCTAGTAATAATAGTAATGATAATAATGATGATGATATGATGATAATGGTGATGATAATAATAGTAATAACAGTAATTATAGTAATGATAGTAACAATAATAAAAATGACAATGATGATAATGATAATAGCAGTGATAATAATATTTGATAATAACAATTAATATGTTAATAGCAATGATACTAATAACAACAACGATGATAAAAGCAATGATAATGATAATAACAATGACGGTAATCATGATAACACTAACACTAACAAACTGAACGCCAATCCGTCACGCGATGGCCGCGGGAACCCCAGGGGCGCCGGAACAGCAGCCGCAGGAGATTCCGACGGCGTGACGCGGCGTGACAAGACGGATGGAGGCCCGTGACGCTTGTAACGAGGGCGGTTATGCAGATGTGACGATGTAACAGACGCGGCGGTTATGTTGATGCGACGCTGTTTGGGGCGGTGCGTGGGGCCGGGAGGGGGGAGGGACGGGGGGGAAGGAAAGGGGAGGAGGAGGGGAGTTGAAGGGGGGAGGAGAGGATGGAGGATGGAGAAAGAGAAGGAGAAGGAGAAGGGAGAGTGAGGAGAGGAGAGACGAGAGAGAGAAGGAAAAGGCAGCTGCGGTCAGCGCAACACTTTTCCCAGAATGAGAAACTGTTATAATGAGGATTATCATTATTATTATTGTTTTTGTTGCAGTTGGTATTACATTTATTATCATTATCATTATTGTTACTATCATCACCGCCACCACTGCCATATCGCTTTCATCATCAAAGCAGAAAACCGAACCAGTGGAACCAATAACAGCGAATGCAGTCGTCATAATGATAAACCCCGCTCATACCTTCGGCCGCGTTCATGATGATATTAGTGATCTATCTATAAGTCGAACTGTCTGTCTGTCTGTATCTATCTATCTGTCCGTTTAGATATTTTTAGTCATGTTCCTTTTATAATTGCAAGTCGTTCTTAAAAATTGCTAATATATATATATATATATGTGTGTGTGTGTGTGTGTGTGTGTGTGTGTGTGTGTGTGTGTGTGTGTGTGTGTGTATACATGTATAATCCTGGGAAATAATGATAATGATAATTGCAGTATCAGTAGAGGTGATGGTGATAATGGTGATAGAAATAACATCCAGCGGCAAGAGCTGCGATAGCCACATGTTCATGATCATGGTAATGGTGATGATGATGGTGACCAACACGACAGCAGCGAGAAGGTAAAGATAAGTAATGATAATGATAACGAAAATATTTATAATAGTTATAGTAATACCAGTAATGATGGTGATGATAATGATGAGGAAAATGATAATGGTAATGATAATAATAAATCATTAAATAATGAGTAATTAAAAAAAAAACGGCGATCATGATAAAAATCACTCCAGAATGATAAAACCTCCAGCAGGCTACTTGGCAACTGACCTTATCCTTGAGTTGCCAACTGCCCTTTTAATTCCCCTTCAAGAAGCGTAACGGTTGGCTGGGCATCGGGGCGGGTGTTGGCAAGTGGGCACAGGATTAGGGTAAGGTTGACTGGCACAATCAGGGCACCCGGGCAGGCGAGGGTACGCGGAGGGCATATGGGCATAGAGGAGGTACGCGGAGGGCATATGGGCATAGAGGGGGTACGCGGAGGGCATATGGGCATAGAGGAGGTACGCGGAGGGCATATGGGCATCGAGGGGGTACGCGGAGGGCATATGGGCATAGAGGAGGTACGCGGAGGGCATATGGGCATCGAGGGGGTACGCGGAGGGCATATGGGCGTCGAGGGGGTACGCGGAGGGCATATGGGCATAGAGGGGGTACGCGGAGGGCATATGGGCATCGAGGGGCACAATCAGTATGTCTAGCATGATATCTCTCCCATCTTCTCCTCCCTTGATCTTTCCCCTTCATTTCCCCTCAATACCCCTTTTATTCCTATTTTCCCCTCCCTTTCCATTTCCTTCTCCTTCTCCCTCTCCGTTCTTCTTACCTCTTTTTTCTTCTCTCTTCATCTCCCTCTTCCTTTCCTTCTCCCTTCCCTTCCATTTTCCCCTTCTTCTCTCCCTCTTCGTCTCTTCTCCTCTCACCTCTTTTCCACTCTCTTTCATCCCCCCTCTTTTCCCCTTCTCCCCTGCTGTCCCTCCTCCTCTCTCTTTTTCTCTCTCTCCCTCCTATACTCTCTATTTTCCTCCCTTTCTATCTTTCCGTCACCCATTTTCTTCCCCTCTCTTCCTCTTCACATCCCTCCCCTCTTTCTTAACCCTTTTCCCCTTCTCCTCCCTCTCCCTCTCTCCCTCTCTCTCTCCCTCCCTCCTCCCTCCCTCCCTTCCTCCCTCCCTATCACCTCACTCCCTCCCTCTCTCCTTTCCTCCCTCTCCCTCCCTCCTCCCTCCCTCCCTCCCTCCTTCCCTCGCCCCTCCCTCTCTCCCTCCCTCTCCCTCCCTCCCTCCCTCCCTCCCTCCCTCTCTCTCCCCCCTCCCCCTCCCCCCCCACCCCCGCCAAACCACCTGTTAAAAGGCGATCACCTAAAAACCTCCCGAGACCCCGGTGTGTGATGTCAGAGGTGGTTTTGACATCAGGAGGTCAGGGTGGTGATGTTGCCGATGGTGGTGATGTTCGTGGCGGTGATTGTGATGATGGTGGTGATTGGGGCGGTGGTGGTGATTAAATTGATGGTGAGATGGGTGGATAGTTAGATAATGAGATAGGTAGGTAGAGAGAGAGGGAGAGAGAGAGGGAGAGAGAGGGAGAGAGAGAGGAGAGAGAGAGGAGAGAGAGGAGAGAGAGAGGAGAGAGAGAGAGAGAGAGGAGAGAGAGGAGAGAGAGAGAGAGAGAGAGAGAGAGAGAGAGAGAGAGAGAGAGAGGAGAGGGGGGGGGGGGGGAAGAGAGAGAGAGAGAGGAAAGAGGGGGAGAGAGAGAGAGAGAGAGAGAGAGAGAGAGAGAGAGAGAGAGAGAGAGAGAGAGAGAGGAGAGAGAGAGAGAGAGAGAGGAAAGAGGGGGAGAGAGAGAGAGAGAGAGAGAGAGAGAGAGAGAGAGAGAGGAGGGGGGGGGAAAGAGAGAGAGAGAGAGAGGAAAGAGGGGGAGAGAGAGAGAGAGAGAGAGAGAGAGAGGGGGGGGGGAAAGAGAGAGAGAGAGAGAGAGAGAGAGAGGAGAGAGAGAGAGAGAGAGAGAGAGAGAGAGAGAGAGAGAGAGGAAAGAGGGGTAGAGAGAGAGAGAGAGAAAGAGAGAGTAGTAGAAAGACAATGACAAGACGAGAGAGAAGGGGGTGAAGAAACAAGAGAACGAGGATGATAAACCGCGGAAGAAGGCAAGGAGCCGAGAGGCGAGCCCGGG